CGAAATACGGGTATATTTCTCCCGTTTTTATAGTCGAAATGTGCAATAATAGTATGAATTCTGTCCAAAATATGCAAACATGTGCAAAATAAGACCACATAATATAAAACACCACTATTTACCTCGTCAGATGGTAATTCAAGGATATTACTGACAAAAGTAGTGAACAGCAGTTGCAAAAAAAAAAAACATACTGTTGCATATTATAAATCCTAGCCTTAGTAAAAGCTTACTAACAGAACAACAGTTCATAACCGATAAACAACATACGGACACGATTGGCACTTCAATCATCAATTACGCTGACTCATTACTTATATTTCTTTATATATACCAATTGCACCAGTTATTCTATGACGTGGAAAGCGAACATTTTATTTTTATTTACAAAATTGTTTGGTAGTATGTAATTTATCGTTGTACACCTACCTGCAATATATCCAATGATATAGTTATTTGTAAATAACGATTTGGAGTTCAAAATATTATTTATATTTTTTTAATAAATATATTATACTAATCTGATAGCGTCGTGTATTGTTATAATATCGTTCAAATCACACAAGAGGAAGTAGAATTATTATTATAAATAAATTAATTGATACCTTAATTAATATCTAGAGTTGACAAAGGTAAATTAATAACGTCTTGGTTTTTATTTAAGCACATGGATAAGGTTGAATTTAACTTATATTTATGTCATAAATCACATTAAATAAAAATAGGTAATATTAAAATTGCACTCGGTTTCAAAAACGGTAAGTTCGAAATGCTCTCAGTATTAAAAAAAAAAAAGATAATATTTGAATTTCATTTGTTTTGATTTTCTGTAAAACCATGAATTAAGACGTATACTTAATGTTTACGAATATCAGTTGACGATTGGAAGAATGATTTATATTTTTAATATGTTTAGTTTATTATTTTTGTAGTGATAATTTGATAATTTCATACATATTATTTCTACAATTTATAGAAATATAACATGAAATTATATATTTATGTTTATTAGTGAAGTATAATATTGTAAAAACGCCGTTGTTTTGTTAAATTTATTGAAACATCTATGTAATTTTCGACTTAAATTAATATTTATAAGTTTTATATGTAATAGATTAATCTAGTGCAGTTCAGAAATTTTCTTTTTTTCTTGAACCTGAGTGGAATTCGAAATTTCTCAAGTACATATAAATAATGTAGTCTATAAGAAAAATACGTGTATTGACTATAATTGACATTAACAACTAATTATATTGTCGAAATTTAAAATTTAATAACAGACATACGTATACGAATATTATTGTAATCTACTTAAGAATAATTAATTTTATATAAATGATTAAATATTAGCTATAAGAAATGAGAAAAGAACAACAAATACCATTTACTTTACATAATATAGTATTTACCCATATAGAATAAAATAATATTATATTTATGAAATTTGAAGAAAAAAGTTGTTAATAGTTAATGAGAATCTATACTTCAATTGGCCTACGAAATATATTTTTCATATTTCAACCAAGATTATTTTTTAGTCATAGAAAACCACTATATCCAATTTAACATGCTGAAGATTTATTTTCTCACCACAGTTGAATAGTTATCCATACTATGTTGTAGAATCGTATTCAATTTTTCTTGGAAATTCTTTAAAATTATTATCACTTTAACAATTATTTTCGACATGTGTACTAAATATTGGCGCATTATATACGAGTATATAATATTATAATACAGTATATTTCTACAGAAAATGTTTAATTCGGAGATACTTTTATACAATTTTATTTTGATGCTAATGAATCATTGTTGACAGACGTAATTTCAATAGTAATTTTGTCGTTCGGTTAAAGTAGATTTTCTTGTAAACTATTTATACGTGTGTACATCCCATCCCTCCTCCTTATCTAAGCTTTAAACGTTTATGTCTATTAACAGTTTGACACTTTAAAATCTTTTTTTTTTTTATTTTTCATTTGGAAATTATTAATAGGCTATTTTTATTGCGATAGTATAGTATTTCAAAATATGTTAAGATGAATAATAAATTAGAATAAAGATAATTAAAATTAGTACTTCTATAATTAGACAGTAAAATAATAAAATACAACACTATATAATATAATATTTCGTGTCATAAAAATAAATATTTATTTTATTTTGTTTTCAACATCTAACCGTAGTGATCTAAGTTAGTTATCATGTATATTGCATACGGCATAATATTATTTATGCCATTTATGGTACTACATACTAATAAATTGCGATTTTCACCAACCTCAAACTTTAATATTTACAATTCATTTTAGAACATGAATTATATCTGATTGTTTAATCGAATAAATTGACTTCCATTTATTTACAAAAAAAGAAAAATAGCAATACCTTTAATCTTCAATCGGAATCGGAATCTAAAACAACTAAACTTGTATAAAAAGTTAAATAAATAAAAATTATATATGAAACTCAAAAAACAAAAGACACGTACCGTTGTGGCTTCTATGAGTTACTTTTAGAACATTTTGTACTCTCACAAATAGTTTAAGTCAATATTTTACTTAAAAATATGTATTTGTTTTAGTAGTATTCAACCATTTAGTTCAAAATAATTACATATTAAAGTTACTACTATTTGATCCAGAGTACAAAACATTGTTCTTATTTATATATAAAATTACATAACCTGCATTACAAGTGTTCTTATAAATATTTATTAACCAGTAAAAGTGTAAATGTTAGATATAAACTAATAATTATTAATAATAGCTAGGATATATTATAATTACCATTACATATTATCCTAAAATAAACGAACAATATTTTTATAGAATGAATGTTTTTAGATATTAAGGCCAAAAATCCGCCGTCTCAAGAGAGGTAGACCACACGACCGAAAATGTCCTACCACTAATCACTGACACATCATAAACACATGCCAGTAAGAAAAAAAATAAAAATAAAAATAAAATTCTAGTTTTTAACATATTATTTAATAATTAATATTTATATTTTATATCGTAATTATTTTAAGTGTGAAAATTGTATGTATAATATCAACAGGCTTAGATAGCTATTATAGCTAGGAATGCCTTAAATAATAATAAAAAAAAAAGATATTAAAGCAACGACTGATAAATTGACTCGAACTAAATTAAGCAATAATAGTAGCTTATGGGTTAACATATCGGTTAAGATCTAATAAAAACGAATTATTTCATTTATAAGTTTTTTTTTTTTTTTTAATTAAAAAAAAAAAATGTTTCAATTATTTGAGGGTAAATATTGAAAACATAATATTCTGATATCGAATTGTATAGATGTATAAAAATTTTATAATAAAAACAAAAATTCAGTAACTTATGTAAGTTGATAGGAAGAAATTAGGAAACTATAATACAGCTAAACGTTATATTATCATTGTCTGTTGAGGTAGTCGGCCACATAGGCGTGATCTCGTGGACAATGATACTCAGCATGGTTGATAACTTTTGCACTCGAGTGCGCTACGTTTATCTTCCGGGTACACGAAACAAAAAAAAGTACTTTTACTATATCTTGATGATAGTTGTTATCCGAATACATGAGATATTGTAACAATCACTCGTTAAGTAAGCTGACTTTAATTATGAATCTATTTTAAATAGGTAAATTAATCTGTTTTTCAATAATTATTTGAGGTCCAAGCTAAAATATGAATAAATAATGGTAATGTAAATAAACTTATCTCTTCAGCGACCAATAAAGTAAAATAATTGCCAATCATCACAAAAAAAACAATCAAAAACATTTATTCTAATATTATATTACCTAGTACTATCTGAGTTCATATAATGTTTGAATTAGAAAATGTATAAAAATAATAATGTATGAACATTTTATAACAATATAATATATATTTTTATAAGAAGATTAACCAATAATGCTCATATCTGTATCCTGTTATTAATACGATTATTAAAAATATGATTTTTGATATTTTTAAATATTCTTACGAGTTACGAGTTACGAATCATACTTCTAAATTCAGGAGAACCTTATTTTTGCTTTTTAAGAAGTGTTATATAATATAATAACCATAATATTCATACTTTTAAAATAAAAATCATTATTTTTTTCTATAAATAGCAGATAATTTTTTTTTTTTTTGAAAATGTAGATGTATCTTATTAAAAATTCAAACACATTGTTTCTGAATTATTAAAATGTGTAAATTAAAAATCATATTACTCAAACATTTTTTTACAAGAATTTAAAATACATTTTGTAATATTTTATTAATCTATTATTTATGCTTGGACAAGTTATAAAAATTTCAAAACTTCAATATCTAAATATTAATCAGTAATCACCATTACTGTATCATCATAGCCCTTATTATACCTCAAGTATCTTCTAATCTTCTTATCATAGACAAATTTCTATTTTGCACATGACATTTTGTTTACTATGAATAATATGGTCATGGAAGATTTGGAGGAGAAGCTATAGTTAATTGAACCTTTTAGTAATAATATATTCAGTACAACATTTATTTTATAAACTTAGGGTAAATTATCCTTATTATAAATGTTTTAATAACTTAAAAAGTATTTGTTAAAATTTGTAAATTGGTGCATCAACATTTTCTAGAAGAAGAAATAAGTATCCACTAAATAATTTACTGTAAAATGGGGGAGGAGTATATTTATATTTGAAGGAAAAAAGTTAATCTTTCTACAAGAATACTTCTTAAAAGGTACGAAAAATATGATATTTAAGTATATTTAAAAATGCTGTTGTGCTTCGTTCGGTTACGTATTGTATGGTATAAACTCTGAAAACACATCGCAATGATACTGTGTGTATATGTGTTTCTTCGTTGTACGGCCATAGGGTCCGGAGCCGTGCATCGGGTTGACGGCGGCGGCGGCGCGGCGACGGAGTTGATAGTCATCGACGGTTTTCGTTTTTTGATTTATTTATTTATTTTTGTTAAACGACATCGGTCGAAAAACCGCTCACGAGATATTTTGTGTATTCACGTCACCGCCTCGGTGTAACGGCGACCTCCGCTGCTGGCCAACCACGTCCGGCGGCGCACCGTTCGACTCGTAGCTTGTTGTGGCTGCAGCTATTCTCGCTGCGATGCGATCGCCGGGTCCACGTAGTGGTAGCCGTTGGACGAACACGTAGTGCGCATCTGAAATGACGTAAAAGGATACGGTGTTAAGGACGACTTAATGATGGCCGAATGATGTCAACATGATATTATATTATATTGTCGACTGTCGTACGAGTGTAGTCGAAAGTGAAATCTGAGTAATCTAAGATTACTTATTCTAACGATGTTTCAATTACACATGTGTTTTTATTCATTTAACTGATATGTTATTATTTATCGTGTTTGTTTCATTATTGGCATGTATCATACGTATATTACTTTTATTGGTGTATAAAAGAACATGTAGTCAGAGAAGACCAGCATTCTCTTGTTCAAGGAATTAAGGAGCCCATATTTTTCAGTAATCAAATATGGTGTACCACCCGGAGTTGTACGTATTGAACTCAGCTCACCACT